TCTGCACAATGGGATGCCTCACGTACAGCCCCTTCTTCATCGACTGTCACTCTTGGTCCTGTTACCATCACATTTGGGCACGACGATTGCGAGGGTAATGATTTCGATGAAGGCGTGTGCGACCAGGTTGAGGGACACGAGTTTGGCTGGGACAATGAAAGCCCTTCCCGACAGGTGCAGGTGGGGAAATTCCATGCCGAGTGGAGGCCAATCAGCAATGAAGAGTTCTATGCTTGGTGGCTGAACAGGAAGGAAATCGGTCTGGCCACCCAGTTGGGTGGAAGGAGAGGAAGAAATTCAAGTTCGTTATTCAATCAGCTATGGATGGCTGGGACTGATTAAAATTGCCAGGTCCGCACTCTCTACGGTCCTGTGCCACTAGGTGTCGCGAAGCACTGGCCGGTGCTTACAAGTTACGATATGCTCAGTGAATATGCGAAGAGTAAAGGCGGGCGACTACCCACCGAACCGGAGCTAAGGCTCTTCCTCGACACATATGAGGTTGGATTCGAGGGCGGCGCGAATGTAGGCATCAGAAACTGGCACCCCGTTCCGTAAGTCACTATGCATTCCCAATTATCATATTTCACACAATTGGTTACAAGAGCGACTACTGGTCTCGAGGCAAACGGCGGTCGTGGAAGCAATGGTGGTGTCTGGGAATGGACTTCGACGCCGTTCGATACCCACGATGGATTTTCACCCACGGAACACTTCCCAGGGTACTCAGTAGATTTCTTTGATGGGAAGCACCATGTTGTTGTAAGTCTTGGCCGTCCATCATCTTGCTGTCGATTGACACAATGGGTTATGCAGCTTGGAGCATCGTACGCTACGATCCGCGCCTTGCTGGGCGGCGGACGATTAGAAACTTTTATCAGCACAATTATCCATACCCGTGGGTCGGTGGGCGGATAGTATATGATGCGTGAGGATGAATATGCTGGTTCTTTGTAAAGCAATTCTGTAAGTAGACAATGTATTGTACATTTCTCGCCGACATTCGATATGTCGTTTCTGACTCGGAGATGGGCACATACTCAGTATATATATCAAGCCTGCCGTTAGAATGTCTACAACATCTCGCACGATGAGCTGACCGTTTTTCCACAACTTCGAAGGACCCTACAATTGCAGCTTTGAACTTCGTCCCTACCATTGATCATGTGCATGAGCGCTTGAGCTTGAAGCTTTCAACGATACACTTGGCTCGTATTACTAAGCGCGTGACCTGTTGACCCCTATATGCCAATGTTGCCCCTATCGACATAGGATATATAATATTGGACAGCACTTTCCGACCACCTTTGACAATAACCATAATGGCGACCTGCAGTGGATGTACATGCGCCAGCGAATGCCCGTGAGTACTGATTTCTTGTCGCTATCTCACACTTAAACTTTCTTACAGAGCTTGTGGCCCCTCAGGGACTGGCTGTGCTTGCCCAAAGAACCAATGTAACTGCCAGAAATGCGTCAACAGCGCACATTCAAAGAAGGTACAGTCATAATAATTCTGACGCTGGTCTTGTAATAACACTAACTGCTACTCGGTGCAGTGCTCTTGCGCTGGCACAGGGGAAAATTGTGAATGTTCTAAGCAGGGTGATGTGTGTGCTTGTGAGTCAAAGTGATGATTCCAATTAGGATGGAAGAGGCGACCGTCGTGGCCGTTCAAAGTATTGTACAATGTCGGTTGATATATTGCAAGAGAAACTGGAAACTTGATCATGGCTTCCGTGAAATAACATGCACAACGACATGTGGTGAGTGTCCCTATTAATTTGCAAGTATCTTCATCTTTCCAATGCTACACAAATTGCACACTACAACTCCCCGTTCTTTATAACTTTATGCTCTCCTGTCCGCACTGTGTAGCATTCGTGCTGTTATCTATATCCTGACACTGAGCTAGGCTCGCCCTGTTGCGCGTGATCTGATTCACTACCACATTCTTACCATCGTACGATCCTGTCAATGGTGTGGGCAAGCACGACCTAGTACTGACACGGTCTGTCACTGCAGTGCCAACCGCCTCGCGAGTTTAAAAATCAATGTCCTTATTTGTAGACCCTGTGTCTGGCATAGACCCAGGGTCTATACATGGGGGCTCACGCTTAACTATCGCGTATGACCTCGAGAGTTTGTCGTGACTCGGCAATGTCGCCATGGCCAAATTATTTCAATGATCATTCCCCCGCGCTATGTTTGTGTCTATTTAGTAATTCACTACTGAGCAACTTGAAGGTGCTACTACTACTACTACCACTACTAAATGTAAATATTAACAGCCTCGTAGACCAAACGCTCCTCATCAATGACCTAGCAGGACGCACTCTAGGTCATGCTGGACTTTCGCTTCGCAAGTTGTCAAGGTGTTTCACAGTTTCTGTATGTACATGCATTACCTTCTCAGGCTAGGGTCCGAATTTTCCGTAAAACAGTCAAAGTGAGTGACATTCTTATGAAGTCGTTGCCAGGGTTTTGATACGTGCTTGAGGAGAGGGTATAAGTACTAGTCCGTTGTCACTTACTTCTGAGTTCCTCCTGCACTTCCCTCTAGACTCACTATCAACTTCAACATTATGACCTCCGAGTCATGGACGTCGCTAGATTCTACTCCAGGCCGGCGCATTTTCTTTCGCCCCCTTGGAAGTTCAGAAAATGTCTTACACTGGACTGCCTCCAGAAACACCTCAGATACCGTGATGCACATACACCTTCGTACCGCACAAGCCAGCGATCAAGACGTTCATTCCCAATCGAATATCTTGCGTTCTTGGGTGTCTGTCAAAAAGCGCTTTCCCCTCGTCGCGGCTGAAGTGGAAGAACACGAGTTTGGCCCCCGCTTCATTATCCGTGAAGAAACAGTCATGAATCTTCGACCTGATGATGTCACATTCACGGAGGTCAATTCCTTTCACCATGCTGAATGTTTCGTAAACGACATTATGGATGGACCTCGGCGCCTTTCATCTCAGTTACTTACTCGTGCCTATATTTTGCGCCGAACAGATAAAAGTGACCATTTCCATGTCGTGGTTATGCTCGCCCACTGCATTACAGATGTAGCGAGCACGAGCACGGTGCTTAGGTCATTTTTTGACACACTGTCATCTCGGATTGAACCACCGTACATTCCTCTAGGCGAGAGAGTGCATAATTTTAAGGCTTTAGAGAGCAATCTGGGTTCTAGAGATCTTTCACTTGTCAAAAGACGGTGGAGGCGGGCTTTGGGTTATGCAATTGACTTGGTACGGATGTCTCGGTTCAAGGTCTTTAGTGTTCAGTTTGTAGTGCCTTACAGGAGAGCTAAAGCATTGAAGCAGGGCGGTCACACTCTCCCCGGAGACTTCAGGGAATCCACACCTCATACTTCCGCTAAAAAACGCGACCATGTTTCAGTGTTTTCGAGAGCAGTGTCGTCAACCATTCTCACCAATTGCCGCCGCTATGGTATTACCATGAACTCTGCGTATTATACCCTCTGCCAAGTTGCCATGGCACGCGTTTTATGTCGACGGTACCTCAGGGGCCAGATCTCGGAAGAAGAATGGGAGTACAGGAAGCGCCAGCCCATGTATATCCGCGGGCCGGTGAACTTACGCCCGTATCAAGATAAGGACTGGTTTGAGACGGGCGGCTCGGGTGATGTTGGCTTCGGCGCCGGCATCGTCCAGTATGTGCTTCCCTTCATGCCTCTTGGTAACATGTCTAGGGGAGACCCTCACAGGTTGGAACTTGTTGATGGGGCACCGGACTTCCCGGATCTCATGTCTTTCAACCGGTTTCTTCTCCGATGTGCTAATGTGAAGGCGCAAGCCCAGAAGCTGCTTGGGCACCCACGGTTGGTTGACATATGTAGTAATTCCACTATGAGAGGCTATTCGACTCCTTCCGGGAGGGACATCGCTTCGAAGCGGGTGCAGACGAGAGACAGTGTTCAGCCAGAGGACGGCGATAAAAGTGTATCCGTTCAGTCTTTGAACCCGATATACACACATGTGGGAGCCACTCTCGGCAATGTCAGTGACTCTCTTTGTATATATTCAAATGAACTAAACGTTACGATTCTAGATGGATCATATGTTGCCCACAGAATATCCTCTGCCTCCCGAGCACTACCTGTCACCGCTGCACAGCACGCCTCACGCCCATCGGGCCGGTTATGCGCCATGGTCACCGCAGGCTGCTGCTTTCGAGGACGCCAAAACACCGCGACTTTATGTTGAGTACTGGCGTGTCCATCAACACTCAACGCCTGCCAAGCTGTATCTTGGTGCGTCAACTGCGCGCCAGCAGCTGCAATATTTTGTCTTCTACGATCAGCACGTCTTTAGCGAAAAGATTGTCACGGAGTGGTTGAGTGAGTTGAAGGATGCGACGTTGTGGTATCTGGGCCAGCCCCATAGCAATGGAACGCCTTTACAGAGCAAGTTATAGTGCCACATTGCAATGTTGCAAAAATAATACAAGAAAAGTACAGGAATAGTTGAGTAGTCGTAGAATTACAAAAAACTAGTTTGTTACATGGAACATTAGAATCTAATCGTCCTCCTCATCCTCCTCGTCCCAGTCCACACTCTCCGCTATTGCATCACCTTCGCTGTAGAGCTTGTCCAGTCCAGTTAACTTTTCAAGGAATCCGGGCTCGTTAAATGCCTTCAAGAGCATATCGAAACCTTGTTCCTCGTAGGCTTTGAGAACCTGAGCCATGGGTGAGTATAGAGATGCGGAGAATGAGTGATGGCGCTCACTGTCTCACTGCAACCCGTGCACTTGTCGTATGCTGCACCTATGATCGGGAGGTTTCTGAACTGTGCCAAGAACCCACGCAATTGATGCGGGACAAGACCCAGAACACTGTCCGACGTGCTAGGGTCTGCAGCAGCGCCATTGGCTTGAGGAGGGGGCGGGGGTGCATGAAGCCTGCGAATGACATCAGGAACAGTGTCTTGGCGTACAATAAGACCTACCCATCGGGATGTTGTAGCAAAGAGACAAGGAGTTCGACCGCCGTAGAAGCTGCGATCGAGGCAAGGCCGGGTCTTGTCACGGTACACATTTGATCCAAAGTACGATCCGTCAAGGACTGTATGGAAAGATATGTGAGTGAGTGTCGGTATGGAGAGTTGAAAGGCAATACATCAGCAGGAGCGACAATATCGTTGCAGTAATAGCAACCCAGTCGATCGCCCGTCGTCGAAGACGCTCGAGCGCCATGACGCATAACAAGATACGTGTCAAACCCAAGAGCAGCGTTAAGGACTATCTGCGCGAGGGTTCAGTACGAGCAATATGCATAGGGTCTTGTGCCGTACCTTGCCCTTGGCGGCGCCCAAAACAGTGGGCAGCCAGCGGCTTTCTCTAGAATCCATTAAGAGGAATACAACATCGTGTTCGTCGAACAGCGTCTCTAGATGCCTGACGTCTTTCTTCGCTTGTTCAATGGACGCCGGAGGTATAGGGTGGCCTGGCATGGGTATAGATATATCATGGCCTGTTGCATTCTAATTTACAAGTCATCAGAGATCGTTAAAGACAAGCGATACGGGACTTACAATACCGGGGAAGATTTTCGTCAAGCGCTGGGCGGCGCAAGCAGCCTTGGGTTTACCGCCGTTGAGACAATCCTCGAATTCAAACAACGGTTGGCGGACGGGATTCGAAAATGATACACGCGCGGAATCAACAAAAGTAATCGTACGGACACCCCATCCCTAGTGATGGAAATCAGTCATGACTGTGGGTTTGAATCTATCGGTACAAACCATGAGGGTACGTGCAACGTAGCAGCCAAGTGTCCCTGCACCGAGAAGTAGGCATCTTGTCGATGCTACTTTATCGAGGTCTAGCGAAGGTAGAATGCGCCAGCGCATCAGCTTCAAGTTCAGGTCCACAGCTTGGTCAGCGAGCCTAAAAGCCCATCAGCAGTATTTACCATGAATCGCTGGACAACACATACCTCTTCGGATCCATCATGGGTGCCAGATCAGCGACTCGAGCACTGAGCTTGTTGGTTGTCGGATGGCGCTCCCATCCTATAGCACTAGGTTTCGTGGTTGGATCTCCTTCTCCGAT